GGGCCCAATGTTTAGAATGCGGATTTACTGACCGAAAGGTCTGTGGTTTGAATTCGACCCCTGCCTCTCGACTTCCAACGTCTGGGCTTGGGCAACCTGGCTTTTTCCCAGCCCTCGTGCTTCCTTCTGGATGGTATAGAAGTTGGGCACCAAAAGAGTACTACAGCTGAACGATTTCTTTCCTTTTTTCTCCTACGCAGTATTTACGAGGCTAGGAATCTTATTTGAACTGTGGACGTGACACTTTTCAAATAACTGCTTTTTTCTTCTAACCATTTTAGAGTTTAACACGCGCTGAAGAACAACAAGTATTTTGCATTCACCTGATCACTGTCATTTGTGATGACATTCAGTGGACAGCCGTCTTACGTGAACCACGTTAACTCATCTGTAAATTTTTCCGAAATCTTGTCTAACGTACCGGATGAATTGCCCTCAGACTACTTCTCTAGTTCTGCGTCACTTGTCATACTTTTTCTCATGACAGATGGCCTCAGTAAGGTAATCCTTAAACAATGTGATTCGCCCACATTACCTGTGATCGGACTTACCAAACAACCAAGAATCAACCCATATCTCAAAAGGTGCTCACAAACGTCTTGATTTTCACTGTCCCAAGCTCTTTGCACCTCTTCAGGAACATCACAAATCTATTACTCCTGCTTTCCAATAATTTTACCGCTTCTGTTTCTCAGGCTATATTCATATTTTCATGTATGAAAACCGCATTATTTCATGCAGGAGTACAAAACTGTGTGTTACAATCCCAAACTCTTTGACTTCATAACGGCCCGTGTCTTCCAAACCGGACTTGTTCATCTCCGTCTAACCTCTGGATTCAAGTCTTCGGTCTATAAAAAGAATTATTATTCCACGACATATTTCTGGGCTGCGTGTATTGCAATCGACTTCAAATATAAAAGAGACAAGTCTATGACTGTGAATTGTTTTGAATGCAATAAGTCGCTAGATACAAGGCGGAATGAACAACCTATAATTTGCAGTTGATAGTGAGGGCTCATTAGAGTATCCGTAGAGTTTAAAATTTGTTTTCGCAGGAAGTCTGGCATTGAAAGCTAGAGACAACTTAAAGCTCGAAAGGTTAAAAGCGAATTTACTGGCCGTGGTTCGAACCCAACCTCAGTATCTCGAATGCTTCTGTTTAGGCTGGGCAACCACAGCTTTCACGCTTCCTACATGTGGCATGGCTGCTAGACACCAGAAGAGCATTACCGCGGAAGAGAGGATTATTTTTTTTATTCGGATTCGAGTGTACTTTCGCTGCACCGCCAAACTTCCCAGCCACATTCCTTTTCCATCCGTTAGCCTGTTCTTCACAGCCTGAGTGGTCCTGATTGGATGGCTTTAATCCTGTGGGCTGACTATGACACGTTTTCCCTCAACTGCTTAGATAGTGTCTCGAAGAGTTGAATGAAGCCATAGAGAAAACACTGTAGTAATACTCTTATCGTTCTAGCCTTCTCTTGTCATTGTGTGCCGTGCTATTTGTAAAATGAACTCGAGAGCCTTCTTTGGAGGGTCGTTTTGAACTTCCCATTCACACATCGATTGATTAGTATCATTGAGTCGTTTCTTCTCTAGCACAGAAAATATAGTAGGACGTGATACTCCTTGTACACGGTTATGAGCTTTTGGTTCAGGTACTTAGTTTGCCTGCTCTAGTTTCTCTAAACACGATGTAGGAGATCAGGATTCGAGCACATGAGTGTATTCGCGGTTGCCACATCTTAAAAACCCCTTCAGGACGCTGTAGGACATAAAGCTTGCAAGTGCAGTAATGTTGTACGTTGCCTGGCAACTTACCACAAATATATTGTTTTTCAGTTTTAAATACATGTATACGAAACGATTGGGTTCACTTGGCGATATGCCTACAAAGGACGTCTACAGATGCCCGTTGCCGCTTAGCACTAAATTAAGAAAACTAACGCGTAGCAGAAAACAAATTTCTATTTGTTTTGAGGCAGAACAAAAGCGGACTTCCGCAAATCACATCTTACGTGGGAGGAGTACCTACAGACAACAGAGGCCAAATACTTTTGATATGAAGAAACTCCTCGAGAATTTGCTAGGAAACTACGATCAATTGACAAGAAGTTGTCAACAAAGGCATTTCACTGATGAACAAACAAAGTACAGCTGCTTAAATGTGTCCTTCTGATGACTACAGAAGAACACAGTGTAACACTCAGACGTGAGTGACTAGTGGCTGATGAATCCACTGCATGAACAAGATGATTGAACAGGCTGCATCGATGACTTCGCTAAATGTTGTTTCAAGATGTTAATTTGAATAATGAATCGATCGGTCTTTATTCATTTAATCTAGAACAATGAAATCTGGTCTGCTATAGAACGTTTAACTAAATCGTTGTCTGACAAACATGCGTAGAGTTCGGAAAATTACTTTGACGGGATTATTGATTCGAGAGACGACTTCAGGCATTTGCGATATTAGGAAACGTTTAGAAAAATCAACTAGACCACAAGTCCGATCCACTTTAACCCGCTAGCCAGAATTGAAGATGGAAGATGGAAGATAATACCAATATACGAAGACTGCGATGTCGTTGAACTGAGATAAAGTCACACCTCACACATGCATGCGTTTGCACTCTTGTACCCACGGCAAATGACGCATTCGTTACGACGAAATTCACAAAACCGCCCCCAGAATCTTTGTTGGTGTTTTTAGGCATTTTTGGGCAAAAATAAAACAGTTGCACACGGGAACAAAAGTCTGCAACGGTAACTTTTTCATGCCCTTATTAAATTTTCGCCGGCTGGAAGTACGGATCTAAGGCCTATTGATGTATACTCATACAGGTTGCGAAAGTTTGATCCAATTGAGTAAGAACCTAAAGTTCAACCAACAAGATCAGATGGTTATTTCAACACGTCTAACGCATTTCTGGTGAAGATCAAAAGATCGCTTGTGTTACTCTGCATTCGATAGGAAAACTCACACCAACTGAGGGATTTTTAGATCTTTCGAGGATGTTCCTCGCTGAAGAAACAAGGCTCTATTACAGAAGCGCGGGTCCGTTTCATCTAGGGCTTATTAGACCAGAGAAAGGCGAAATACATCCGCCTTTCAGTATTTCCTAAGTGTACTCTGATTTTCGAGTACAAATTCCAAAGGATCACCCAGGACTTGCATGAGAGTTTGACACACTTTTCACAAAGCAAGTAAGCCGAAAAGGCTAGTGTGTGTAACGCAGGCAAAAACACAACTTTAAGCAGATGCATTCCCTTAAAAATTCACCAATTCATAACGCTACAATATTCATCCTGCTTAATTTTATAGTAAGAAAGTCAGCATTTAAGCTTCGAGACCAATTGCTTTGGTTTTTATCCTGAGAACAACTTCCGAACAGCCGGTGGTGACCTCAAAATGTGGCTCTACGGCTCCAAAAATGAAGTTTAAACAGTCCATAAAGTTTCCATACAGAATAGTTTTGAAACAAGTGTGGCGGAAACACAGGACTATGTTGATTTCTTTCGGATTTTTTTCCAAATTTTTTTATAGATTTTTTCGAATTTCTAGCAAACAGGATATAACTTCTGTGGTTTGGGGTCATGTACGAGCTAACGACCATCCACCCTACCTGAGCTACCAACACTTTCCTCCAAAGAAAGCACTACATCTTCACTTTAGACCGAGAAGCACTGTGCACCTGCTTGTTTCATCCTTATTGGGAATCATAAGTATTGCGCATCTTACAGAATTTCAGGCAGTCCAACATCCCTTCGCGCCGCCATCAACGTGTAAGTAGCCCAGAGGAAGAAAAACTCACGCAATGAGTGGAGCTTCCGTCCGAAAATACGTCACTCGAGGAGCCAGTCTATCAAAACGTGACCACGTGATGTGGATCTCTTGACTTAAGGATCAGCGGTGCCATATCTTATCTAAGTGCGAGTTATTCGCCGTGCTAATCAGTCGCTCGTTACTGAGCCGTTTAGTGTTTAAACTACCAGCTGGAGGGTCGGGTGTTGGAAACAGTTGTACAATCTTTCAGCACAAGGAACTTCACTTGCAGCCGAAGATCTCCAATAAAAGTTACAAGAGCTCGTTACACTAACACATTGTCAAAACTATCCAGTACAAGCTTGTTGACTATTTAGAACTAGATCGCCAAGTTTTTCTGTTTGTTAGAGAACCAAAAATATCCTCGAAGATGAGTAGTATACCAGTCAATAATGGGTGATCCGCACTTAATGACTGCGACCATGCTGTATTGCACAATGGAGCGGAGGCTTACCACACCGACGTCATTGTAATGATAATAATAGAAATACTACTCACAACAGAGTAATAGTAATGATGCACTGACCACCACCGATTTGTCAGGTCACAAGTTTATGACTCGTTGGACCCATGTGTAAGTCAATTACACAACCGACTGCCATTCTAACAATTAACTATCCATCAGTGTGACCCACAGTTGCGGTGTTACGCGCCGAGTTGTTGCTGAAGGCCTCGCAATCAAACTGCTGTGGCCATCCATTCCAACACCAAAAACCTGCAGTGGTCGGCGACGGGGCTTTAGTTTATGCGTGTGTCGCCCAGTTTACAACACAAAAAATATTCTGATAATTACTGCGATCGAAATCGCTCCGTTATTTCTGCACTAGATTATTGTTTGCTGTACCTCAACTAACCAGCGTGTTCGAGTGATACCCAAAACGAAGCTCTACTTCCGGGAGAAGTTATCGAGTTGAGAAATCACGACACACTAATTCAGGGATATATATGTTTGGAACTCGAAATTCCCATGATAAAGACCCGATTAATATACAATATTTCATCGGGTCTGACTTGTGTAATATTTCCAGTTTCCAGAATCGGCAAGGATGCATTTTAAATGCTACCCTGTGGTGAAAAGTTAAAATTTAATTGGCGATTCTGGAGCGAAATTTCACAACAAATAGAAAAGACGAAGATGTGATACTGAATTGCGGTGCGGAAAAACGCTTACCCAATACAAACCGTCCAGGCATCATATGATCCTTTCCGATCTGATGAGTGACACAGTGTTCACTGATGATCGTAAATGTCCATTTATAGCATGCTGCGACACACCACATCGGATACGGCAACAACGGAACAACCGGTCTTACGCCCACTCGGAACAAGTCCTGCAGACGAACATGAGAAGTACCTTCGTCTGTGGGTGATTTCCGGTAAGTGCGTGTCATTCATGCGTCTGCGGTGAGTCAGTTGGATGTGGGTTTGCGTAGGCGAAGCGATTTCATTGGTTGGCCAATGGAAATGCGGGTGATGATAAGCATGCAATTCGAGCCAGTTTTCAAGGCAAACGTTTCAACCATGGCGCTGGCAGATCCACTGAGTTTAGCATGTGGTAGCACTGATGCACATCCTTTGGGCCCCGATACAAAGGATGACCAGCTTTAGGAGCTAGATTTTTTGGGAATCCGGCTCACTGTCTTCCGAGCCAAGTGGTGGCCTCAGAAATCAACAGAAAATACAGACCGGAAATTGTCATTCAACTTTTAGGGGATCTTTTCCAGGTAAGGCCTGCCAAAAAATAAACCCCCGCCACCCAAAATAGATTAGAAAAAAGAGGATATAAAATTTGTACTTTTAGGTTTTATTGGAGAGGATAAAATCGGGACATGTCACTATTGATTTGCAAGAAAAGGTTCGCTTTTCGGTGCCTTTGCCTCCAAACGAATTCACACATGTAGCTGTCCAAAGATCGGTTGTGCCGCATTGGCGTTTAATCCGCCATCTGTAGACGTGTTAAAGAGATTCGATGGTTTGTGAGTGAACTCCAGTCTTTGGATCCACAAAATTTTCTTTATGATTAACGGTTGCAGGCGCAAACGTCTCGAAGAAAGTTCTTCCAATCCACAGCGCTCGTTTGGCTAATAGACAATTCCTCTGAGCAGAATCTGATTTTCGCCTAATTTTTGGACCAACAATAAATGAACAGAAATACTGTTCTAAACTCCATTGTAGACCACTCCAGCCAAGTTCCCTTTCTTGCTAACACTGTCAGTCATTACACCTCCACCTGCCAGAAAGAGTTGAAAGTGTCATCTAGTGGCCATTGTTGCATAAACGTTCCTGATGGATCACTCCGTGGCTAACAAAAAACGTATTACCGTCTCCTTGTCACGGACGAGGGTTGAAAGCGTTAGGAAGTTCATTTGAGGTTTTACGTCCAAACGGAGGAAACATTTTTGCACAAAATGAGTCTAGATGCGGATAAGGGATTGTTTTCATCAAAAATATGTCAAGCTTGTGTGCTGACAAAGAGTGCCGTGGCTTCGGTTTTCGCACATGCACTTTTCACATTAGTGGCGGCGCTTATCGGGAAAAGATCCGTTTTAGTACTTCAGTAAATTATTCGTCATTGCCATGAATTTGGAGGTGAATTGCGGTTTCTAACGGAATTTGAAATTATATACAGTCTCATATCATTCGGGACGATGTGCTTTTCTATATTTTATTATCTGGGGCGCACATGCAATACGTCTATTACAAGTTTTAGTTATTTTTTCTCTATCATGTGGCTTAACTGCATGTTTTTTTAATGAAAGTAATGTCTTGATCTTTGTCCTAACTGACATGGAGTAATGTGATATTCTCAAGTCGTACTGGCCATCCATCAACTAACTCTGTTCAAATAAATGGAATCTTAGTTAGTTTCACTGTTTAAATTCAACAAAGTGCTGGAGCATATTAGATTCTATCTGACTGCCAGCTGTCCCTAACACTTATTCGCTCACTGGATATTTGTATCTAGACAGAAGCTCCTTCTGCGTGACATACTACCCATAGCACTCCCGATAGCACACTGTCGATTTTGCTTCTCCTAGAGCTCATCAAGTAGGCTCAGTCCCCGAAATCGCCGCAACCTTACTTTCTACTTGAAACTAAATCTTACAAAGTTCGCCAAATACACTCTCTTGCATTTCAAGAGCTTTAAGCTACTTTATGTATAGTGAGTTACGTTTAGAAAATATATCAAGATATCTCGAAAATCTTACTGACTGAAATTTGAGACAAACCATCAGAAACGAGAGACACATCTGCATTCAGTTGAACCAATGTCAAAATCAAAATCACGTGTAAATAAGAACACTTGTCAAATTCTGTACAGTTTGTGCTCAGCTGTAACATAAGGTTTACTCATATCAGTAACTCGACTTGCACTGCCTCTTGCTATCCATACTAAGCAAGTTTGTGTCAGTAGCTACTACGCTGGCAATGCAGTTATTCTCGTTTCACATCAATATGTCCATTCACGTGTGAACACTTCATTTGCCAAGAGCATGTATCAGGACACCATTGCTACGTCACGTTGCTACGTCATTCGATGAGAGACCACAGATCCGCCAGCCGCAGGACCATTGGTTCTAGCCACAAAATGTATCCTAACGAATGCTTAGGAATGTTAGTAAGCCGAGACGTCCGGCCTGACAGGGCTATGCGCGGGCGACCAAAAAAGTGAAATGGAGACAGCCATCCGAACTGATCACAAGAGGAACTAAATGACCTACCACCTTGAGAGCCGACGAAAATACATTAACAGGAGTTAACGCAAGTCAACCGGACATAGACGCGATTAAATTGACCAGCAAACTGTTGTGTATGATTTCGTTTCTTTCTGTACAGGTCTGTCTGGCAACACTCGATTCACTAGATTTGTCATCTAATTTTTCGGGAACCATGAGCGCACTATAAACAGCGAACGAGCCTACTACCAAAAGTACAAATTGTCCATAATAAGGCGAGGACTTGAGCGGCACTGTATAGTTTCGCACTTCAGTTCCCCCTTGAGACAGAACAAAATAGCAATCCTACTTTTCAATGGAATTCCGCCCGTGAAGTGAAAAGCACAGAAGCACCATGCACCTGTTCCATCCTTGTTGAGAATCGTCAACAGTGGACAATTCATGAAATTTCAGGTGAAAAATAAATCGTTCGACTCCAAGCTGCTGGTCAGTTGTGTAATTAACCCCTACTCATTATTCAATCAAGAAATCTACATCACGTGATCACTTGTCGACGGTTTCCTTGAGTGACGACTTCCTGGAAGGAAGGTTCATATGTCGTGTGAATTATTATTCCTCTTTAGTCAGTTACAATTCCTCAGTAGTATGAAAAGACTTGTTTTTCAGTGGGACTGTTCCACTGTGTTTCTAGGATTTTCAGCGTAGACTGACTTCTTTCTCCGGACGAAAATATTTAATTCTCGTCATACTACTGTAAAACTTTCCATTTTGCTGCTGAATGTTTTATTCACTTCTCAGAAGACGTCGTCTCATTTCACAGTCACGTTACCTGGTTGATTTCACGATCGACGGTGTTACACTGTACTGCCAGATTACTATATCTGTACTGACTGTTTTACGTCGTGTATGGCGTTGATTAAGCCAGGGTGCAGAGTGTAGAGTGTCAAGCCGCAATGGAGTATGAACCAGAATTTCGTAGACATCAATTTGATGGTGGGTTTTCGTTCATTTACCTCTATGCGTTAGTGAACATGACTGATGAGCACTCGTTCCCCTTCACCTTTCTAACTACTTAAGATAATCAACTTTGCTGGACTTCACTAGCCCGCTTTGGCAGTAGAGGAGCCACAATAAACCGGATGAACGTGAATCTGTGTGGATAGTCAAAAAGTGTCTTACTTCCAAGTCTGCAACCTAGATGGTAGGGTGTGTTTGTGAAGCACCCGATTTATAAGCAGGTGACAGGAAGTCTTGGTGAGCGCGAACTGCTTCCGGTATTTATTGGTACCGATTGTTACAGATTCTAATTTGTTTGTGGGAATAGGGAGCATCAAGTGTTATCTTCCTGAGACGAAGCATTTGGACGCAGTTGGTATCCAAAAATGTCACACCGTCTAGCTGATGTGCTCGCTTGGGCATCTGTGTGGATGCGAATGTTTCAAGTCACAGGTTTGTCAAAGATGCAGCTGCGCTGTGGCCTACATGGCAGCCCAAAAGCAGATGTAGCACGCAGGTGCGTGGGCAGTTGAAACACGGCGGTTGCACCGGCCACGGTAGTTGAAGCACGGTGATTACAATGCACACAGCAGCTAATTTGGTGGCTAATTGGCGTAGGCAGACGAGACTAGGCCGTGCGGAAACCAGGTGGAAGTTTGGGGGAGAGGGAACAGCGCAGATGTGAAAATGTTGCGGGTGAAAGTGTGTGGGAGAAACCGAATGACACAAGAATGTTCACTGAGCGCCCGCGTCCAAAGGCAGCATGGAACTGGGCCATTTGGTCCAATTCGCATCCGTGTTAGCTCCGTGTGGACAACAACGTGAGAGATTTCCGTGACACCGTTTGAAGAAACACAGTATTGAGTATATCAAAGGCATATTGGGCAAAATCACACAGCAAGTTAGTAGTGACCCTGTTTAAAATAAACGGAGTAGTGATTAAAGCAAAATTATATTTTTACTATAAACTTAGCAGGCGGAATTGTGGATCCTTTACCCCTAAAAGTTCTTTGGCAATCAGTGTGCACACGATTGATGAAGTGAAGCATAAAGCGGCACGACGCCAAATTTCTGAGTCACACAAGTATACAGGCTTGTGGACTTTCGGGTTCCTCCTATCATGCTACGGTGTACTGAGTACCTGAATGGGTTCCTATAGGTCAGGAAAGCTCTTGGGGTATTTGTGAGACAACCGCCAGTTCGAATACATGAAAGTCACTAGAAAATTGACAGCTATTCATTAAAAACCTAGGAAACCGCAAGTTTGCCCCATTTGCTAAATTTACAACGCGGTTCTTGAAAGAATTCGTTCGCCACAGTGTGCATTCCATCAAGCTTAACAGAGTCTTCAATAGAAAGCCTCGTTTGTTCCCCAGTGTATTTTAAAGAGGATGTGGACTTTTTCTAGGATTTGTGGGCAATTGCGAAATTCACAGCATGCCTTCAACTGTCTCACGTTACCCCCACCACATCTCTCAACCACCAATAATATTTATTAGGATCACGGATGATCAACGTCTCATATCCAACCTATCAACACATAGTAAGTGATGGCATCTAAATGATAGGAGCAAAATCATTGAGGCGTGAAAATCTGAGCCAAACCTGAGTGCGGTGGTTCCCGCTTTGTTGTGGACTCCTCAGAATATGCTCACCGACCCAGAAAAATGACTCTTTAGAACAGAACGGTGTAAAAACAAAGCATACGAATCTCACAA